GTTGGGCACGGGGATTATTTTTCTCCGCTCTTTTCTCAGCAGCCACAATAAAAGCGAGGCGGGGGCTGGGGGTTGCGCTCCGCGGTGGCTCTCCCGCCCTTCCTAACGGCACGGGCGGGCCCCGCGCGCCCCTCGTGGGGCTGAGGGGGGCCCCGCAGCCTCCCCGCTGGGACCTGCCGCCCTCCTGTCCCCGTGCTCTGCTCGGGTCCAGGCAGGCGCCACCGTGTAGCGCCAGAGCCCGTGGCCTCTTTGGGCTGTGAGTTACTCCTTCCCCCCGTCCCTGGGGGACGAGCATCTCCCCAAGCACATCACCTTCCAAGTGTGAGCAGAGGGGAAGTTGGGTTTTTTGTTTTTAAATTTATTTATTTACTTAGCGTGTGTGAGGCTGTAGGCCCTCCTGCCGTGTGACGGCTTGCTGCCGCCCGTGCTGTTATGCTGGAGTGCGGGGTCCTTGCTGCGCGTGGCCGGCTCTCCCCCCGGCTCAGCGGCAGGCCCCGGTGCTCCTCAGGCCCTTGCTGGGCTCCTGGGACCGTCTGGGTCAGCGCTGGGTCGGGACGTCGCTGCTGCCGGCTGCTCTTCTCCCTTTGCAGAAAGACTTGCTCCGCTTGCAGGCTGTGTGCAGAACACCCACAAGCTGCCTCCTCGGGCTCTGCGTATTTAAAATCTGATATTTGGTGTCTTGAACGTGTTCCCTTCCTTTTGTCTAGCCCTCACCATGGTCACCCTGGTACCTGGGAGCCCCAGGCTGCTGTCGCTAGCGCAGCCTGGCATCTTCCCTCTGTCTATGGCATGGTGTAAAACACATGTGGAGATGGGAGAGAGGCAGGGATCCTGCTGCCCCAAAACCTTTGCAGAAAACATGCAACACATGACAACACCCACAGCTTTATTCTCATTAGCTTGGCAGCAGTTGCAGCCGTCACCTAGATGGGCCAAAYGGGGTGAGTGATGCAAAGTGAGGGCAGAGGAAGGGGAACGTGCTGCTGCTTTTAGGGAAACACTTTGCAAGGATATATGAGTTGTGCATCATCCCTTCCCTAGACCTCAGTGTATACAGTCTGGTAGCTTGAAGTTGTTACGGATGTTAAAATTTCTTTGAATGTAAGGTCTAACTTGCTGTATACATATTTTTTAAAATACCACAGAACTATTAAAATACATGAGGATCTACTCAAAGAACTTCCTCTCCCTTGCTACCTAAAGCTCTTTCTATGGGTTCTGCAACCATTACTTATGGTTCCTCTTGTGTTTATGGATATATATGGTTACGTTGTTAGTGTGTATGATGCCCACAGCTGCTTCGATACTGTCACAGGACCTAGAGCTGTCTTCACGCAAGTCCCGCCTGCGTCCGGATGGAAGCGATGGGAGGGCTGCGTGCTGGCTGCTCACAAAAGCCTGTGCTCGCAGCTTGCAGGTAGCCCCCGGCTCACCAAAGATGCTCAAGTGTTAAGACAGTCGGTAGAGACAAATACCAAAAGCAGGATGATTCTTTTTTTTYCCCCTGTTCTGCAGTTCAAACTTCACAGCAGATAGTAATCGTGATAATAGAGTGTGTAACAATAATACATTTTAATTAGTAGGCATTGCATACTTCAAAGCCTTTAGTAAGACATGTAAGACTGCAGAAAATAGTATCCATAGAAAGTTTAATATGTCTTTTAAAGTAATTTAAGTAGTTTGCAAAGTCAAGTCAACCACATCAGTCAACAAAAGATTTACCTTGGCCCGAAGGGTGTAGCTGTTCTTCCCTGGCATTCGACCTGTGTGGTTCTTCTCACCTGCCCTCTTCCATCAGAGGTCTTGCTGGTGATGAATAACCATATCAGCAATAATCATAATCCAATATATATTTCATCAGTTAGATATTATCAGTGTTAGATCATACCAGTTGTTAAAGCCATTGAAGAACATTGTGCTCTCCCCCATTTTTTTTTCCACCAAAGAATGGATTGCAGTCTGTCTTGACAGCGGAAACCTTTATCATAGCATTAATTTGCACATAATGTAGCATCATGGGGCCACTTTGTTCTTAAAAAGTTACCTCCCTTGCCTTCAAGTGTATATTAGCAAACCCAAGAAAAGAAACAAGACAGTGGCTCTGTTGAGCTTGCGCATTTATAAAAGGACATAGTAGAGACAAGATGGAATTTTAAAGGAGATTTTGGATAAGAGGAGATGATTTATGTGTTATCTTCTCTCTTAGAATGCAGGGAAACATCTTAAGCTTGTTTGTATGKTTTTTTTTTAAATAAATTTGTTATTATTTTAATATTCTTTTCTGGATTATCCTTKGGAGAGGGAATGGGGGATGATTTCTAGCAAGTGGGCAAGAAAATTTAAGGGTCAATTTAACTCTTAACACAGATTTTTTCAGCTTTCTGTAGTAATTGTTGATATCTTGATAGCATTATGACCATGAAATCTTGAAGCTAATCTAGACAGGAGGAGGAAAAGAGGTTGTCTGCCACTGATTTTGTTCTCTGGCTTCTTTCTACCAACTCTGTCCAAAACTGGTATAAAACACTGATGAAAAAGGTCCATTGACTTCAGTGGCAGCTTTGTGTGAGGAGTCACCCTGACACTGAAATTGGAGTTGGTGAGCTGCAGGTTTTTGGAAATGGAAGTCCCATCTTCAAAGTGTGTTCCCGGCCTATCTGCATTTCTTCAACATTCATCTAGTCCCTCATGACAAACAATCAGCTGTGAGTGGTTCCCCATGGAGTCAGTTAAGACTTTTGTCTTAAAAAAATAGTCATGTTTAGGCTCTGTGCTGATACTTGGATTGATTCTGAGCACATGTTTGTCTGTTTTTACGTGGCAAATTCACATGAAGAAGCACTTTGAGCTGGATTGGTGAATAAAGCCTTAGTTTAGCATTTTTGAAGGRTTGGTGGAATCTGTTGAAGGGAATATTTTAATTAGCAACCCAATCAGTGTGTAGAAAGATTAGTTTTGTTTAATCTTGAGTTCATATCCATCCATAAAAAGGCAAAATAACTAATGCCTAAACTAAGACCCTGGAGGTTGGCTTTAGGATTCCTGGGTCCTTCACTGCTCTGATGAAACTTTGCTGTTCATCTAAGCAACATRTTGACGTTACTCCTGCTTTTCTGCTAGTGGAGTGGCTACTCTGCAGGTAACATGGCATAGTAGAAAGAAAGCTGGGACATTTGGGTATAATATTCTCATTCTCTCTCTCATTCTCTATTTTTTTTCCCTCTGTCTTCAAACAAAATCCATCTTTTTGTTTATCAAGTCACCTGCCCAATGTAGTTCCTATTTATTTCTGACCCACTATTACATCCCTTAGACTGATTGTGTTGCAGGTGATTTCACCCACTAGGCAGAAATTGCGCCACCAGCCGTGCCCTGACAACTACTGATTTTTTTTTATATATATATATATATATATATTTTTTTTTTTTTTGAATTAAAAGGTGTAGAAAATGAAGCTTAAACAGCAATACTATCGTGAATTTTGAAGACCACTGGGAACAACTCATTAATCTGAAGTTCTTTTTAGAAAGAAGTGTGTTTATATATGCACACACAGCATATATGTAGCCATGACTTGCTTGCTTTGTGTCAAATAAACTCAAGCTGTGAATAAAACCCTAAATATATAACCACACATCTCAGAGATCACTTCAGCGAGGCACAGCTGCCTTACTCTGTCCTGCGAAAGGTGCTATCCACAGGTGCTTTAGATAATAGAAAACAATACGGACCTGATTTGCTGCAAATGAGCTAAAATTTGTCTTATGGAAACTTGCCTTGCCACCTCATTTAGGTGAAGAACTTGGATTAAATAAGTATTTTATTTATTGACATGTTTTTGGAGCTTGGAAAGACCAGTGATATTTTAACCAGAGTGAAATGTGTTGTCCTTTCTAGCTGTTTATTCATTTTCTCTTAAGACAATAATGGCAGTCTGCAGGGATTATATCTGCATAGAAGTTGTTCAATGGTAAATAAATACTGAAATTATGGTAAATAAATACTGGACCAGGCCTCAGTTATAGTTGTGAGGGAGCTAGGTAGGATTTTTTGCAGTGCTGCATAGAAGAAAAGGAAAAAAAATGCTCATTTTTCATGATAAGTTGATGTGTCTAGTTGTATGCCAAAAGGGGGGAAAAAATCTTTATTATCCGTATATCACAAAAATAGATTGGCTCGCTCTCTGAATGATTTTATCCCATTTTCAGCTAGAGTGGGGAAGAAAACCTCTTTCAACCCCCTTTATTTAATGTGGTATCTCTGGCATGGTTTATAATTTGGGTTTTTTTTGGCATCCATCTTTTCAACCAAGCATCTGCCAACTATGTGCTGAAAAGCAAAATGTAGAGTATTTATCACTGGGATTAATCATTTTATTGAGCAAAGGCTTTTTACACACAAAAATATTCAAGATCAAAGCTCTGAAAAGCAAAGCTGTTACATTATAGAAGAGACATTTTCTTAGTTCACTTGATGTGAACAGATGAAATGCTCTGCGCATAATGCGAGTTAGTGTCAAAAGAAGCTTGTAGCTACGGACTCTTTAGCATTTTGTCTTTGCGTCTCTTGAATAGTTATTAGGTGTTGAATAATATATTTTTACAGTGCCTGCAAAGATTTTCTCTGTAACTTTAACCTTCCCCCATAGACACGTGGGCATGCTTTAATTAATAGATCAGGTTATTTATCCCAGCTATTTATAGATTGTCCATCGCTATAGTATTAAGGCGCTGTTACTTGCTTGGCATGAAGTARTATGATTCCAGACAAATAGTTACTGTTTTAGGCATCACCATTATTCTGCTGGCTGAGAGAAGCTTTGTCCTAGAAGCTTTACATAGATTTATTTTTCTGGATGTTTCTGTGAGATGGCTATAGAAAAGCAGGAGGACGTAGTTACAGAGCAGTTCTCATGGGCATCCCTTCAAGCCCTTCATGAGAGTTCTTGGCTGTTTTTGTTAAGGTCATGTAATCATTATAAAAAAAAGAAGTTTGCACCAACAGGCAGAGAAAATAATATTTAAGACTCTTTGTGGGCTTTTCTGTTTGTATGCATTTGGGTTTTGTTTCTTTTCCCTACAAAGCAGTTCTCTAGAATGTCCCTGTATTTCAGAGTCTTATTTTTTGGAATCTTGTCATATCCTCTGTCATCCAATTTTATTTATTTATTTTTATAGGTGAGTTAACACAGACTCCAACACTAAGTGAACAGGACTGGACTTCTTGAGTTTTATATCTAAGCCACCCACATCTAGCAGACTCTTAGGCAAGTTGTTTAATTTCACCAAACTCAATTTCCCATCTTTAAGATGAGGTTAATAATATATAATAATACTATTATATTTTATATATTATATTAATAATACATATATACACACACATATATATTTAACATAGTGCGGGTTTTAGGTATATAAGTAAGCTAGTAATGTCTTTGAAGTGTAGCATGAGTGCTATGAAAAAATGTGACTGTTTCTTACAAAAGAATTAAAAAACCCCAGGAAAAGAATTCATACATGTGCTCCTTCTCCATGTTTGTGAAGATGGCAGAGCTTTCTCGTTCACAGCTTCTTGCCTAGCTTTATGAAAGCCCAGGTTTCATCTGTTTTAATGGAATATTAAAGCCTAAGGTAATACACTTGGTTACTTGTATATTAGAATTATTAAAATAATTAGTGGTGTAATTTCTGTATACTAATATAATTTTATTTGACAAGTAAGAGACTTTTGTAARTCAATTGGCTATTTGTCTTCATTATTGGTGACAGATTTTTTTTTAATAAAAAGAGCAGTTTTAGGCAGATATTTGTGAAAAGTTGAATGGAAATATTTAAGCAATTATTGCTTAGCACGTTCTTCACGAGGATATGTTTGGATATGTTTGGTTTGGGCTCATTTGAACTAAGTGATATTTATGTTCATTAGTAATGAATGACTCCAAGGGRTCATTTAATGCGGGTTGCTTTCCCACTATTACACGTAGCATCTCTTACAGCTCTGCCTGTTTCCAGAGGCATCCAGAGGTAGAAATTTCRTGGCCTTCCTGGGAAGTTGGATGTAGTTCTTTATTCCTAGAGGCTTTTCACATGTCTGACATGGAATCTTCTGCGCTTCGATAGGAGCCCTTATTTCTTGTTTCCAATACAGATGTGGAGAACAGATTGTTTCTTCCGCTTTGCAGCAGTCTTTTATACATCCGAAGATGATGATTAATCTTCAATAATCTCTTCTGTAGGTTGAACAGTTCCAGGTAATTCCATCTTTTCTGGAAGGTCACATTTCCTAGACCTAGACTATTTTTGTAGCTCTSTCTGGACTGTCCGCTTGGTCTGCATCTCAGTGCTACGCTCGGGGCAATGTTATGGCATAGGAACCATAAAGACCAACCATCCAGAAAGGATGCCTTGGGTGTAAAAATGGATTGAAAAGGACTTGAAGCGCCGAGTGAAGAAATAATCTTTGTCGCATCCATGTTCAGAGCGAGCTGCTTTATTTCTGGTAAATTAACAAGAACCTTAATCGGCACCATAAATGTAAAAGCAGAATGTGGTGAGGCATGGGGGTAGCTTTATTAAATGCGTATTTCAAATTGGTGTTGACAAACCAGCTAGTAAAAAGAACCGCTATTTTATATCTTAATGGAAGCTCCTAAAAGTATTTGCAATCATATATAGCTGCATATAGGCAATATATAGTTGCATTCAGAAGTTTTTCGGTTTCAACAATTTAAAGCATTCTTGTGTTTCATTCTTCTGGTCAAAGCTGTTTTCTGTGACTATTAAAAACACAGATTGTCTGAAAATGAGTTTGGTTAGGTGGGAAATGAGGAAATTCAGGTTTTGTGGATTTTTTTTTTTTTWATAATTCCTAGCTAAATCCCATTGAGATTAAAGAGTGCACAGCAAGTTCTTGAAGAACTGGTTTCCTTGGCATGATGGCTTGAAAGGTGTCTAAACGTGATTGGAAATGTATGTTTATTGATTAGATATCAGTAATATTGATCAAAGCAGCTTTTTTGGAGATCTTTGATAAATCTCCTGTTCCATGAGGTGTCCTATAGGGTGCTTGGCAATAGAGAACATTGTTGTGGAAGGGCTGTAGAAACAAGGAGGAGATGAAACGCGTGTACGTTTGGTTGGAGAAAGAATCTCAGCTTGGCCAAGGACTGCCCRCACATTTGCAAGCACATTTCTACCCCTCTGAGCTTGAATCTTTAATCTCTGTTTGTCACGTGCCTGTTGACGGTAGTGCTAGGATATTCCAGACCAAAGATTGAGCAGAACCATAATACTGCTTTCTTTCAGCCCGATTTTATTTATGGTTATGGGGCAGTGACTTCTGATTTCAGGCTAGTAGATTTGGCTTTTTTGGGAGAGGCATAAAACCTGAAATTATAAGGATTTGGCAGGAGGGAATCTCACAGATTCCTTTTGGAAAAGGAAAGACAACCAATTAAATTAGAATGTGGATTCATTTCTGTAATGTGAGGTATAAATAGGAACTGGAAAATATACATTTTTTCCCTCCCCTCTCCCATATTGGGAAATACAACCATTGTAAGCAGTGCTGGAATTATAAAAATACTTCTAATGAGAGTTTTGTTGCCTGGCGAAGCACAGATTTTTTTTTATTTTTTTCCTCCGGTAAAAGATTTTTCTTTTCCCTTTACAGGATGGCGGATACAGACCTTTTTATGGAATGTGAGGAGGAGGAGCTGGAGCCATGGCAGAAAATCAGCGATGTGATTGAAGATTCTGTTGTTGAGGACTATAATTCGGTTGATAAAACTGCTACGGGTATTTATTTCAGTCTAGAATTATCCAACTTATAGTTGTGTGATATGTAAGGGAAACTGCAGTGATTGCTTATATCTTCTCCAGTAAGCTTATTTGAAACAACAACAAAAAATACCTGTTAATGAATAATTTAATAAATGGTGATCTGCGTTTGACCAGCTAACAGGAGGGCCTAAGAAGCCCTAGCTAAGTAAGGACATGGAAGTGTGGGGTTTTTGTTTGGTTTTGACTATGGTTTTCAGTTGGTATCAACACAATTTGGACCATTCTGTTACAGCGCCAGAGCATTTAAAATACAAGAGTAAATAAAGCCTGTTCTATAACCAGAAAAACAAAACTTTACTCTCCTTTTGATTTTCCCCAAGTACTTGAGTTGGTGTGTAGGGAAGAAAAAGAATTCAYGTCCTATTGCATGTGTGGGTGAAGTAGACTGGCATATTTAATAAATTAGGCTTTCATTTAGGCATTTGCATTGTTTTTTCCTGGCTATTTGGGCAAGACCAAGCAAAGTAGCAGTTTAATATCTGGAACAGAGAAGGGATCTTGTAGGCCCAGGGGTAGCGCTGGTGATTTGGTGTCTCTCTCTCTTGCTTCGGTGGTGGCAGTCCTAAATGTCAAGGTTTGTGTGAAGCACTGCAGAAGCGTTCTTGGTGATCAGCGTTTTGAACTCTGTAGCAGTAGGTGTTCTGCATATTTTGCTGTAATTAAAGGGTCTCCRTGGAAGTCTTCAACTTTTTGGAGCTTTTTTTTTTTTTTCCCCCCCAAGGGAAAAAAACAAAAGGGAAAAAAAGGAAATGATAAATAGAGGTGCTCCAAGCACTTGAGTTTGCACAAGCTGAACAGAAAGGTGACAGTATTTGGTGGGAGTCCTGTCAAAGCTTGCAGGGGCTACAGGGCATAGCAGTTGCTTTCATTCTGCTCGAAATGAAATCCAGGGTATTACTGGAAATTATCACTGGAGGTATCACCCTTTAGATAAGATGTAAAATCAAGGTCCCGTCTGCTCATGGTCACAGCTGGGGACACTGTTTTGCAAAAAAAAAACTGTTAAACTTGTGTGTTGGCCAAATCTCAAGGTGAATAACTCTGTCCAARGGCTGGGTGGCCCTTTTGCTGTTAGCGTTGTCTTGCTTCTTTTCAGAGATAACATAAGCAATCTCTCTGAATAACTTATYTAATACATTGGAATATAAAATATTTTAGACTCCTTTAGGATTAAGAAGCTATACAAATATGTTTGTCGAACTCATTAAAAAGTACCATTTTTAGTATAACTTTATCAGAAACATGGATAACGAGAAAGGTTATTTTTATGTTATTTGAAATGATGATACATTTTTGGGAAGTGTCTTAAAAATGTCTTTGACTCCAAGTGCGTTGTGGCTATCACTGCGTGATACATCTGTGATCTCAGGGTCTGTAGATTTTTTTTTTTTTACTTTGGTCAGGAGACAATGCTTAGGAAAAAACCTGAAATTTCCCAAGGTATGTATTGATATCTTTGGAAGACAGATGGGATGTTCACAGTCTCTAGACAAAATTACTTTCCACATGCAGAGGATTTCTGACTTGAGAAATCTTTTCTGTTAGTATTGCTGGAACCAAGCCTGCAGCCTCAGCCGGGGTTGTGTATTGCAGCATGAGCTTGATGGGTGGTTGCACTTGCGCTTTTCGCATCCCTTGGGATGCAGGTGAACCCCCCTAGGCATTAGGAACGTTGTGTTGGCAGACTAAGTTTTTCCTGGTTGTTTCCACGTGGCTTTTCTCTTTAAATTAGCGATAGATGAGGAAATTCTCCTTGTGATTGCATGGATGCGGCTGGGCCCATTCACTTTAAAAGCAACACAAAGTTCTCCAGCCTAGAGCCAGCCCTTCTCCTCTAAGAGTAGCTGCGCTTGTTAAGGCCCACCATCCCCTACAACATAGCTGTGACTTGCAGGGGAATCTTTTTTGGCTTTTTACCGGCAAGGATTTTGAGTGGCAAAATGCCACAGGGATCTGTCACCTCTCAGTGCCAGCAGCCTCTGCTGGCCCAGTAACTGAGGGTCACATCCCAGTTTAAGTTGTGACTATGTGGAGCACTCATGAAGCGAGCTGTGTCTGGAGTCATCCCAGCTTTCAGCAACTGTTTTTATGCTCATGGCTGTCATCTGGCATTTTGTTTTACATTCATTAAAAAAAACTTCCAAGTTAGGGCTGAAAAAGACCCGTCAAATCTATCCGTGTCTCGGCGTAAGATTTTGTTTTGGTCTTTTTCCCTCCAGGATATAATTCACCATGTGCCAGCCTGCAGGCCTAAAATTTATCCTTTCCTTAAACAACAGCATCCCAGTTGCTAAATACTGAGCCTTACAGCTAACTGTTTGTTAACCAACCGCCTGCCTCAGTTTCCCGTGTGGGATGTTGTACTTGGTAATGTTGAAATACGCAAAACTCCAGCTCCCCTTTGAACGAAGAGAGTAGTGGAATGGATCCTTCCTTCCTTTTCCCCTTGCCCCTTTTCCCCTTGCCTTTCATTTCTTTGGATTGCTTGTGGCTATACCTGTGGCGTGCTCAAGGTGGTTCCTTCCTGTGGTCATGTATACCTGCATGGCGAGCTGGTTATAGTGTGGGTGTCTTGCAACAGTGTCCTCTTCCGCTCCCCAAAAGGTTGTTCTTGTTGACCAGGATGAGATGGGTGCCACGCCACGCATCAGGCTGACAGCTTGACTCATTTTCATAATTCTCCATTGCAGATTCCTTCAATTCTTGCAACAGGAATCTCAAAAATACTCTTTTTTTTTATACTGAAAATGTAGAAATTATACAAGAAAAYACTGTGTTTAAATCACGCATGCAACAAATGCCTAACTGTGTAGTTAAGTCAGTTTAAGTTAGGAAATGAGAAGAACTTGTGTGTTTAAGTTGCTGCCTGTGTCAGTGTGATGGGAAGCTTGCAATGCTTCCCTGCTGTCCCGCCCTGCGATCCCTTCTTTCCCCTGACTCCATCAGCATTTTTTTTCTCTTACACTTGTTATATGTGGGTGTTTGCACCGGGGGGAGGTAGCCTTTCATCTAGGTAGCAGCGTTAGAGCAGCAGCTTCTCTTAGCCTTGTTCCCAGGTCCTGCTTTTTGAAGGATGCATTCCGGAGCGGTTGTGCCTCATACTTCCCGAGGTGGACTGAGAGTGCTTGGAAGCCACCTAAAGTTGATAAAAGGCTCCTCAGATACCTAGAAGTGTCTGTCACTAGGCCCCAGTATCCACTTGATACTGGAATCACCTGCCATTAAAGTGTTAATGACGTGTCCCCACATTGCTCCTTTTTGCCTGCCAGCTGTGACAAAGGGTGTTCTTTGAGACAAAAGTCATCGCAGAAGTGAGTTGTCAACCCAGGCTTATTGTCTACCCTTCTCTCTAAGCCTGAGTTCTGTTGATGCTCAACTATTGAACTCAAAGTCCAAACGTATCATAACCTTAAATCACAGCACGCTGACATCAGTCCTAACTGTTTATTGATGATTCTGGCGTTATCTTGGTGATGGGAGCCGTGGCATGATGGCCTCTGTAGCCTGGTATGTTCTACTTTGAGGTTCCTATGTCAGTACCTCTGATTTTCACCCTGCAAAGTGGCTCCTTGATGGACCTAGTGCTAGCGTCCTTCTCTTGGAAAGGACAGCAGTAAAGTTCAGATCATCTTCGTGGGGGTTTCTGGAGCATCAAGGTAAAGAAGTCTTGCTAGTTGCAACCTGGCTATGCTTAGTTGGGAAAGAGGATAAGARAGTTCCTCTTCTACATGTCTACACTTTACCTTCCTGGTAGCATACTGGAAGTCAAGGAGGAGTTCAAGAAGTGTAGGAAGAGGCCTAGGTCTCACAAGGATCACTTTTTTCCAGGACTAGGTGTTCAGGCCTGCTTCAGGAGGCTTGCTTCGTCAACTGCCATTAGGTCTAAATCGCTCTACTCAAAGAAGCAAATCAAGCAGCTTCCAGCGAGCTACTTGGAAAAGTCATACGCTTGAGAGGCAGGAGGAGAAGAGAGAAGAATGTAACTTGTTCTTTTGCAGCAGCTGATTTGTGCCATGGTCTCCTCATTCTCCCTAGATGAAATAGTGAATCTATGCACATCTGTCTTGTCTGGTGAGTTTAAAGTGTTCCAGGACCTGTGGAAACCTAACAAATCTTCTCGGAAGCAATCTAAGAGAAGCTCTTGGACATGCTACACCAGAAGACTTATCAGTCTCGTTAATGAAAGTCTACCAAAGCCTGAAAAAAACTTTTGCCATGCAACTGTGCCCATCCTGACCACACTGCAAAGAGCCTGCAGTTTCTGGTAAGGAATTGGAGTATTTGTATATGCTTCTGCTGTTGTGTTGTCTAGTAATGATAKCATTTTAGGAGAGATCAACATGACAGGGACCCACCAAGCCCACACTGGGAGAAAAGAATCGAAAGTCATTGGAGTGACTTGACCAGAAGATCTTTCTCAGCTGGTCTCTACTTTAAAATAGACTATAACCCAATGTCATCTCTTGTTTGTTAAGCTGATACAAGTCCACCCATTTGATTTGTAAGCTCCCAAGGAGCCAGAAGGAGATGGAAACTGGACTGTCGCATTCTGCTTGAGGCTTCGYGGTAGCCTCTGTACTAACCATGAGGTCCTCGTAGCTTCAGTCTTCATGATTTCCTTGGAYGCTCAAGGGACAATGAAGGACTGTTGTTTGCAGTCTCTTCCAGCAGACTTCCAGCGCTTGGCAAGGTCTCCACTCCTTGAAAGATTTGGCCGGGACTGTGCGCTCCTTGTCAGCCCGATAACCCTGATGCCGCTGAGGAGGAGACAATGATCTGCTAATGCCCTGCGCTTGGGCCTTCGTCAGATGCTGGGTGGGATGTAAATATTCAGCACCTCATACAACTCTCCACAGTTCCTTCACTCTCTCTCTTCCCCCCCCACTCTTTTCTTTTTTCTTTTTTTCCCCTCCTCTCATTCCCAACTGCACTGTCTCTTCTCTCTCTTCTCTTTGATAATCATGTTTTTATTTTCAGGAATATTGAACGGATCACGTCTGTAACTTGCCAAAATTGCACTTTAAGTCAATTTGTCTCTTGTTCCTACTCACCCCTTCCATCCTTTCCCTGTCCCTCTTCAGAGAGCAGTATCAGCCTGCAAAGGACACGTGTCCTGTCTTTCATCTGCGGAGCTGGAGGAAACATGCTCAGAGTTCAGGCGTAGCAGGGTTTGTATTCCTTGTTTTTGATCCTGAAGAAGAAAATGGTCCAAGATAAACTGTCAGCCTTTATGACAACTCAACATTTCCATCCTCTCCCTCAGTTAGAGGCTGTGTTTGCTGATGGATATTTTTTTCGTTCTCTGAAAGTGGCAACCGATGTCTCCTCTTTCCACCAGCGCCCTTGCTAAGGAACTTGAAAAGCTAGACAAGATGTGGGCCAAGCAGTTGTGTTGCTTGGATCTGGGCCTTTTGATATATTCTTCCATCACCCTACAGTTTCTGCCTATATAATCTTCATGAAAATATTTGGATTGTGTACACTGAGAGCTGCCAGTCAGGCAGCATCCAGGCTGTTCGTGTACAGCATATTTTGTTAAAAGAAGCAGTTTGCCTCTGGTCAGAACATTTTGTCTTACAGCAGGAGTTCTTTCCTGGACTAACACAGTTGCATGAAATTTCATCCTTCTTGTGCTTAAGACACCATACATGCTCTGGGAAAAGAAAAATAGAGAACATGTGGATAAAACCCCACAGAGACCTGAGGTCCTTTTAGGATAAGTAGCTGTTGTAGCCTCACTGGTTTTGGCCACCACACCAGTGCTGGTTTGTGTTTTGCGACCAGGGCAAGAGGATTTCTCATGTCTGCCTAGTCAGGAGTTTGTCCTTCTCAGCACAGACCTCTCCGTAATGCTTTAATACTGGCAAGAAGAAGCGCCTGTAGGAACTTGTCAACACRACTGCATGAAATATTTATTTGGGTGCTGTTGATGGCATTTTGTTAGAGAATCTATATTGATATCCATAGATACCTGTGTAGATAAGCTACTAAGATAGATATATAGATATATGATTTGCTTTTGTGCATGATGCTTAAAAGAAGGAACACATTTCATGCATGTTGATAGCTCGCTACCATGAGCTTCTGGCCTTTTCTTTCAGGCCAGACACATGTCATCTGTAGTAGGCATTTGTGAAATGAAGAACTAGTGGGGAAAAACAATTGAGGGTAAATTGCTTTGTAGGAAGCACAAGGAATACTAATTATTTATTCATTTTCTGGGTGACAGTCCCTGGAGATGGGAGGAGATGGGAAACGTTGCGATCTTTGCTTTAGCCCTGCCCTGGGCAACCTTCCTGAGTTGGTTTCCTCACGCTGTGCAAATATTGCCCGTCTGCTGAGGGGGCGAGTTAGAAGGTGGGCGGCCGCGAGCGCGCGGGGTGAAGGGGACGCGCCGCAGAGCAGCGTGCAGCTGGAGAGAGCGTCTCGCACCAACAGCATCGGGTGGCCACGTCTGCCAGCGGCGGTTCTGTACTAGGAGTATCCAGTGAAAATCCGTCCATCCGAGGCGGTGGTGGCAGCGTTAGCACTCTGTAGGCTGACACAGTTGCAGGCAGTGCTGCTGCGGCTTGGATGGTGGCTTGTGCAGGCAGCAGTTGGATTTTCAGTTTGTAGTGAATGGGGCTAGGAAAACTGAAGCAGCTGTGTAACAGCTGCGGGTGTGTTCAAAGAGCGTGCGGGAGAGGAGTATCCAAGCTGTGAGGTTGCTCAAAGCTGAAGAATTTGAACACCTAGTTCCTAGGAGCCTTTGAAAATCCTGTCTAAATAGGAATGTTAATATGTAGAAGGGTTGGATATTGTCAAAAAAAMCCATTTCTATTGCGTGAGGAAAGCACAGATTTTTACCTGGCAGGTGTGACTGTTTATATTTGTGTTTCTCTTCCAGCTGGCAATCCACTTGTTCAGCAGGGTGGACAGCCTCTCATCCTCGCACAGAACCCATCCTCAGGCCTGGGCACGATGGTGACCCAGCCCGTGTTACGGCCTGTCCAGGTCATGCAGAATGCCAACCATGTGACAAACTCTCCAGTGACCAGCCAGCCCATCTTCATAACGACCCAGGTGAGTACTCTGGTAGACCCCACTTTATTCATGGGAATCCCCAAGAAGGGATTTACTCAAGAGGTAAATGATCTATTTCAGTGTAGAAAGCTCAGACTGGAAGTGCTTAAAATACATTTGATACGTTGATGGTAACTGTTTCAATGCAGGGATTTCCTGTGAGGAATGTGCGACCTGTGCAAAACACAATGAATCAAGTTGGAATTGTTCTGAATGTGCAGCAAGGTCAAACAGTCAGACCCATTACCCTAGTCCCAGGTAAGGGCTGAAACTAATGAAAGCTGCGTCTCTGTCATATTTCTTTTTAGACTAGCAAAAAATAAAAAAGTCTGTATTTGAAGTCTGTATTTCACCTGCATATCTGGTAGTGCTGAAGATGAGGATTTTCCATTTCTGTAATAATTGGGATTTCCTTTATCTGTGCTACCAATTCTGCAAGTTGTTTTACAGCTGAGAGTGGGCCCTTCAATCACAGCATTGAAGTGCTTTGCAGAGTAGGGGTCTTCCACCTGGATGCAGTATCTGCCTCAGAGTTCCATGTAATCCAGCCTCTTCAAAAGCCACCTAACTTGCTTCCAAAATCCCAGACTATGACAGGCTCCTTACAACTCGTCTTTCTTTTCCAAATTTCCCCAAGCCATGTCCCTTACTGCCTGTAAACCAAACTTCACCTTGAGGAGTATTTTTCTTCAATGYGAACTTCTTATACCAGATCTTATCATGCTCCATCAGCCAGGTCAAAAATCCATATGTCACTGGATAGCTTCTTCATAATAAAGCAACCATGAATAGGGATCAGGTCACCTTTCATTCTCCCCAAACTGAATTTCCCAAGCCTCACATCACAAGCTTTAATATCTGTCCATAGGATCACTCTTTTTCTGTCATAAAAGGCCATGAGCCATTAGAGAAAAGGACTGTGAGACTTAYGAAGTTTATCAGGATTTAAGTTCATAAATCACTTGTGCCTGAAAGTTTCACCTAACAATCACTGTTTTTGCATCCTTGTTCAACTTTATCCCACTTGGGAAGGGAAATTAAGGTGCTGAACTTCTGTAGCTTCCACTGAAGATACTGGGAGTTGTAGGAGCTCAACAGTGATGGAAAATAGGCTGCACTCAGAAAATTCTGAGCAAGGAATGAAGTTTGATTATTTGATCTACTTTGTTTTTGAAGCCCCAGGTACCCAGTTTGTTAAACCAACAGTTGGCGTTCCCCAAGTGTTCTCTCAAATGGCCCAGGTGAGACCAGGTACAACCATGCCGGTCCGACCCACCACCAACACTTTCACTACAGTCATTCCGGCCACGCTTACCATCAGGAGCACTGTACCACAGTCCCAGGCACAACAGCAAAGTAAGTCCACTCCCAGCACCTCCACAACTCCTACTTCAGCGCAGCCAACAACACTTGGACAGTTAACTGTGCAGCAGCCAGGGCAGTCCAGTCAAGCTACTAACCCCAAATTAGGTAAGATTTGCCATGGAAAAGCAAGGGGACTCGAGTGTATAACACTGTCTGGCATTTGATCTTCAAGCATATGGCTTAGCAGTTAGAATGCAGAAGTTGAGTCAGAACGCCTAGGTTCTATTTTTTTGCCTCTGTGACTGACTCACCCTTCATTTCTCTTACCAATATGAAAAAAAAATGAAAATAATTCTGCCATAGCGTCCAGTCTGGCTTGAAGACCAGTTAAATTCTGCTTTGCATAATGCTCTGAGATCACCAATTAAGAGTCCCCCAAGTGCAGCATACTGTTCATTGATGCCCTGTATTTTTTTTTTTTTTTTTGCAAGCTAAAGCTGAACAGATGATGAACACAGGCAGAAACCAACCATTTTACTTATTTTTATGTTGGCTGAATTCATGAGTCAACTGATTGCTCAGGAATAGTGACAAACAATTTAGAAAAGTACTTCACACAGCAAGTAGTCGGAATATTTTTAGCTTTTAAGTGATCAAAATCATATATGACTGCATTTAGAAAATAAACTTTTTGTGACCATTAATATTCTGTATCATGGGACATGGCTCATATCTTAGAGTGTAACCAGAAGGGTAGGGAGATGTTCTTTGCCGCTCTCACCAGCCTTCAAGTCACTGGATATCGGAATTGGTGGCTTAGTTGTCCTCTTTGAAGACTCAAGGGAAGAACGGGAGATGAGGTGTGCTAGCTGCGGGTGGGTGTTGCGTAGGCATCACGTCTTAACCTGTTCCTAATTCATTTCTCTCTTTATTCCTTCTCTTGGCAGTGAGTATCGCGAGCTTTGTGACCGTGAAGAGACCTGGTGTGACTGGTGAGAACAGCAACGAGGTTGCTAAGCTAGTGAATACCCTGAATACGATTCCCTCCTTAGGCCAGAGTCCTGGCCCACTTGTGGTTTCTAACAGCAGCCCTGTGCATGGCTCGCAGAGATTGAGTGTTGCAGAGTCTTCATCATCTTCATCATTAAAAGGTACGGTCTGCAGTAGCTGTTTTATAACTTGATTGATTCTGCTGAGAACCTGGCAATATACAGGTGTCCAGACCTGTACTTTCTGGAGGAAAAAACAATGCCGTTCATAACTATGGTGGTTTCGTGCTAGGGATGAACACTTAAAGAGCTGTGCTCTTATTTTCTATGTGCTTGCCATCTATTTTATCTAGTAACTGTGTTTTTTTGGGAATCTTATATTATTCTGCATTCAGAATGATTGCTGTTCATCCTGTTATCGCGGAAATTATCTGCACAAACCAGAGATACTCTACACAAGGAGGCAAGACGATTCAATTTGGACTTCTTCCAAAGGAAGAACATTCTTTAAAGTGTTCGAGAGTCCAAAAGTTGTTGTTTTCAGGTGCCTTTTGTATCATCCAGATTCTGATTTTTGACTTGCTGCTGGAGATGAAGATGAGGCATTTAAACTAGTGAATRAGGAGAAGAAGCCAAAGAATTAATTGAAAATGGGAAAGCAGTTACACTGATCTTCCCATTTTAAAATTAGTTTTGAGACGCCCCTGTTGCTCTAGCTAATGGGGGTGTATTTCATCTTGCAGATCACAAGGAGTTTGCATTCTTTTTACTTTTCCTTTTCTTCCTTCTTTTTTTTTTTCCTCGGGCTTCCTTTTCCAGACTAGTTTAGTACTTRAAGCATAGCCCTTGAAACTCAAGTATTTCAGTACTTGCAAGAGATCACCTAGTGTCAAGATGAAGAGTAAGGATTCTTTCTTACTAGTGTTTTGTTTTGCTTTTCCTGCTACAGTCAGCTCATCTCCTATTACCACATTTGATTTGCAAGACGGTGGCAGGAAGGTCTGCCCAAGATGCAATGCCCAGTTTCGAGTCACTGAAGCTTTAAGAGGACATATGTGTGTAAGTAACTGTTTTAAGAAGAGCAGTTAATTCATAGTTGCTTGTGATCGTGGCGGGCAAAGACTAGTTCTTCTCCCTAGGTCAGAGACTTCTGTTAAAAGAACGAAATTGAGAGGCAAATTTTTGACCGTTTACCCTTAAAAATATCTATGGTTCTTCCTAGATTCAGTTTGATGTTTTGTGTGGCTTTTCTTTCAGTACTGCTGTCCTGAAATGGTTGAATTCCTCAAGAAAGGAAAATCTCTAGAGCCAGAACCAAATATTCAATCTGCAAAGCCACCCTCACCAGAAAAAAATACAGCTGTTGCTTCACCACCCTCTTCTACCCCTGTTCCTGCATTATCCCCCCCTGCTAAAGCTCCAGAGCCAAATGAAAACATGGTTGACTCATCCCAAAGCAAGCTYATTATGTTAGTGGATGATTTCTACTACGGCAGAGATGGTGGCAAAGTGAATCAGCTGCTGAACTTCCCCAAGGTTCCCACTTCCTTCAGGTGTCCGCACTGCACCAAGAGGCTAAAGAACAACATACGGTAAGAGGAACGGTGTGCCACAGCCTGCAGTGTGCTGAATGCCTCTAATCTCCCGAAGTTAAAATGAGTTATGAGCATCAGTCCATCAAGTGCTACAGCTCCCATGCAGTAGGTTAAGCCCAGAACTGAAGCAGGAAAAGGTGAGATGAGTTGTCTGTTCTCTCACAATTGAGTCAGGGGTAAAACTTACTGGATGGTTGCATGGTTAGAATACTCTTCAGCAGAGAAGCTTCATTTACTTTTCATTAGTCTTAAAACGATAAGGAATTTTATTTGCTAGAACRAACTGTTCTCCTCATCTTTATTCAATACCGTTTCACAAGAGGGAGCTGATGAGAAAATCTTTTTGTATAGAGTGTATTCTTCCCAGTAAGGCGCTGTACATTCTTCTTTTGAAATAACGGGAACAGTGGTTTGGGGTTTTTTTGTTTGTTTTTTTTTCTTCCTTTTGAGTTGAAATGCTTATCGTGGTGAATAGCATTCCCCGTTAGGATCAGAAGTGCTCAACTATTTCAACCCTTGCACGGCCAGATCTCTTCTCTAGTTCCTTCTGAAAAGCGGGAGGTCTCTGGATAGAGGGAGGTTTTGCTTGACTTCGGTAGGAAGACAGAAACTGCTTCTAATGCTATTTTGGAACTACAGTTATTTTAACTTTATTGTTAAATCCTTTGTGCAAATAAAGGTAATGCTAATATGGGTTGAGGAGTCAGGTGAGTGCTCATGAGGCTGTCAGCCTTACAGACACACAGATTTGGGGTTTATGCTCACACACTTTCTATCACCTCTGCAAGGTTTATGAATCATATGAAGCACCATGTTGAGCTAGACCAGCAGAATGGAGAGGTGGACGTCCATACCATCTGTCAGCATTGCTACAGGCAGTTTTCCACTCCGTTCCAGCTACAGTGTCATTTAGAGAATGTTCACAGTCCCTATGAATCAACAAGTAAGTTGGTTGTTGTTTGCTTAGGTTTAAGGGGGTTGTGTCTTGTTTTAAGTCTTTGGACAAAGGACACTTCTGTTCTGCCTTTTGTAGTACGCTTGTTTTGTAGGTCAGTAGAAAAATCCATCTATACTGTATTTTTCAGGCTGATTTTAAAATATTCTTGACAATTAAAGAACAAACTCAGTAGTACCTCGTTGGTGGTTAACTTGCCGATAAAAAATCTATACTTCAAAGTCACTTGGGGTTGCCTTATCAGGAAGCTTTACTACTTATTTTCTTAAACTAAATGGTGGGTAGAACTTTTTCTGCTTTTTGGAGAACTCTTAGAATATGTTCTTTTGCGTAGCCAATTCAAAATGTTGAGAGCTAGCAATGCTTTAGGGTTTTTTTGTTTCGCTTTTATAACGGSACTATATTTTCAAAGCAACTTGTTGCAACTTGTAGCATACATTTTAAGTTCTGTGCGCCCCTCCAGCCCTGATCCCCCCCCAAGTTGTAACTTGCTTTTCCTTTCTCTCGCAGCAAAGTGCAAGATTTGTGAATGGGCATTTGAGAGTGAACCGATGTTTCTACAGCACATGAAGGATACACACAAACCTGGGGAGATGCCATATGTTTGTCAGGTACTGAAGGGGTTTGAGGAACTGGATTTCACAAAGGCGTCCTAGAGCGTAAGGGGAAAGCTGGCATTTCCAGCAAAGCCTGTAGCTCATCGTGGTCTAAATAAGAGCTTTAGCCCTTATTATGCAGCCCTTAGCTGCATTTCCCCCACCCTGGGACATGGTCACTTCTTTCCTTCTTGTGTGAGCAGTGTCAGCATTGTGCATTTTATGCAGACTGCTTTGAATAGATGCTACTTAGTTTGGTATTTTACAATTTACAAGCTAGTAAGTTTGGTATTTTACAATTTACAAGCTAGCAAGTTCTTTGGGACTTAGTTCCGAACCACCATTGACAAATATCTTTTGAGCATCAAGACCATGCAGTAGCAATCTCAGTGTTGCGATGGTAGATACAAGAAGTTGCCATGTGACTTGGTCGCTGATGGTTTCTGTCCTGTAGGTCTGTCAGTATCGTTCATCGCTCTACTCCGAAGTGGACAGCCATTTCCGAATGATCCACGAAGACACTCGGCACCTGCTCTGCCCTTATTGTCTCAAAGTCTTTAAGAACGGCAATGCTTTCCAGCAGCATTTCATGAGGCATCAGGTAGTGAGGCTGCAGCCTTTGCATATGTGCGTCTGCTTTTTGTTGCTGCTGCCGTTGTTGAAGGTGGTTTCTCCAAAGACTGGGTGGGTTTTTACAAACATGATCACAGTTGAATATGAGCTGGGGGCTTGGGAGCAACTTGGAGGAAGGAACGTTTTAAATAAATGACATATTCACTCCATAACAAATGCAATTTCTATGCTCTCCTTGCAGACTTTTCATAAGGATTGTGCTAGAGAAAGGAAGCGTTGCCCCTTTCCCCACCTCTGTTTGGGAGTAGCATAGAATATTGTTACTTAGCACAAAAACCGTGCTTTGCTGGACTGTGCTCGCTTCGTGTGATGATTAACCAATAGAGGTTCTGTGTTCATTTGGGATTTGAAATTTTAATCTCCGGAACACAAATGATGCTGTTTGCACACAAATAAATGCATTTTTGTGGCTTGGTGCTCTGTTTCCATATATGTTGCCTATACGGACAACGTATTTTGTGGGGGTATAGCTAAAGCATGGCTTTCAGGACCTGCACGTGGRGCACTTTTAACAAGTGCCAGTTTGATTGCCCTTAAAGCCCTTCCTTGATTTCCAGAGGAGGTGGAGGCCAGGCTACTGACAGGGTTGCYGTTTCCACACGCTGCTCCTCTTGTTTGCCTGCCTTGGGCTTAAACACGCGAGACTTGGGTCCATGGCACTTTGGGGGCTTGGTGACCCCACAGAGAAAACGAAGTTTTTGGCAGGGGAGGGTTGGGGTTTTTTTAACACCCTCTCCCAACCTGTTTTGTTGCAAGTTGTGTCTCCCTAAACTGAACTCTGAATCATTTGCTTTAGAAGAAGAGTGTTTATCATTGCAACAAGTGTAGACTGCAGTTCCTGTTTGCCAAGGATAAAATTGAACACAAGCTGCAGCACCACAAAACTTTCCGAAAGCCCAAGCAACTTGAAGGACTGAAACCCGGAACCAAGGTAAGAAATCCAGGCTAACAATGATCCTCTTCAGTTTCCTTGGAAATATCTGTGTCTATATCCATGTGTATTCACTAAACCTAAAAGCCAGGAGGCTTTTACTGCTGCAAGCCCAGTTGCAGCATTTGTGCCACTTACTTTGTCCCCGTGACTGTGGAATTTGACACTTTGTTTTCTGTCCATGTGGTTTATGCTTAGTTGGTTGTTCTCTTCCTAGAAATGGTAAGCCAGAGAGCATGGAGCTGAAAGTGGTACATGAGGGAGATAAAACTCCCTGAACTAGGATACCTACAAGGGAAGGCATCTGCATCTGAACTAGTTGATTTGACTCTCTCTAGTCATTAGGTGAAAAACAGACACTTTGGGGCTCAGGTTGTGTCTTGCACTTGTATTATGCTTGGAAATGCTCAGCTTTGTTCTAGGAGGTCTCAGAGCTGAGATTCTTAATGACTGTTTCAAAGGGAGGAGGCTGAGTTGTGGTGGATTGTGTTAACCTTGTGTTAAGAGCTCTTGGTTGTATCTGTTCTTTGCAGGTTACAATCAGGGCATCTAGAGGACCGCCACGATCAGTGCCAATATCTTCAAACGACCTGGCCCAGGGCATGGGCCAGGAAACTGCTCCGTTGACATCTTTGACAGATCCTCAGCCCATCTTCTTGTATCCACCTGTCCAGAGGAACGTGCAGAAGAGAGCAGTGAAGAAAATGTCAGAGCTTGTTGCTAAGTTTATAATTTTAATTGTTAAAGGAAATGCAATTTGTTCCCTCCCTTCTTCTTTCTTTTTTAATGTCACAGTGCTGAGGAATTTGCTTCTCGGCTCTGGACAAGTTCACCAGTTACCAAGAAATGCTTTTGTCAGAATTCAGCTTGACACAAGAACAGGATTAAGTCATGTTATGAAAACCCTTAAGATGAAATTTTGAAATATAGTTTACAGAGCATTTTTGTAGGGAGAGTGGAATCTGCTGAAGGGCTTTCTGCCCACTGTGTCTCTTAATCTTTAATGACAATCCAGAGGCCACTCTTAAACTTAAATCAAGTATTCCTGGCTACAAAGTGGGGAATGTTAAGTCTGGCACTCAGCTGTCCTAGGTAGATAGGGTTGAAGACAGGACCAGCTCAACTGCAGACTGTTCCGGGATCTTTTATGTGGTGCTAAATTTCGTGTGCTAATGATTGTGTTAAATGAGAAGATCCTTTGTTCAGCCCCTGATGGAAATGTCCCCTCTTGTCTTTAGGAGTGTCTTGGGGAGACAGACCTGTCTGGAGTGCAGCTTCGAGATACCTGACTTCCCAAACCACTTTCCCACCTACGTTCACTGCTCGCTGTGTCGTTACAGCACTTGCTGCTCCAGAGCTTACGCCAACCACATGATCAAGTACGGCTTAAGAATATTTCTTTGGACACTGTATTAGAATTTYCTCCTTTTTTTGAATGCAGTTGTATCCCTATGTCCCTATCCCCTACACTGCAGTAAAAGGAATATCATGAAATTCCAATTGACCACAGGCAGTTTACTGCAAGTAAGATTCTCTCTAGACGTGTTGCACTTTTTAATAGCAAATATGGGTGATGCTTTCAAAGGGGTTGGGGAAAACAGTGCAAGAGCTGTAAGACTCACTCTGAAGTACTGCAGTAATAGCTCATGATGTGGATACCTCATGCTGCTGCAAAGGACTGACATTTTCGGTCTTTATAGGATCTTGCAGAATTTTCAYCTTAGGATGGCATAATTGTTCTTAATCTTTTTACGAGCCTGTAGTCTGCACAGGACCACATATAGAACAGGATGGCAAAAGAGTTGCTTCAAAACCTGAAGCAACTTTGAATTGATACCAAGTTGTTCCATTTAGACACAGGTTTTTATTTCCTTGAAAGCAAAATTGGCAAACAAGATAGTATTAAAAGAGGGATTGGGTTTATCTGAGTAGATGTGCTGTTTTTTGCATGTGTTCATATTTCTTTAAATATACAGATCAAATCTGACATTTACACTGTTTTTGTCTTGCAGCAATCATGTTCCTCGGAAGAGTCCTAAATACTTGGCTTTGTTTAAAAACTATACTGCCTGGTAATGGAAAACTTGTCATCTTAATTACCTGGGAATCTAATGGGCATTTTTTTCCAGATCTCATGATTTGCTTCTTAAGAACATGCGCTGTGTTTTTTTTCAACACATATTGAATTAAGAGCAGTGTATTACCTGAGATTCCCCTTGCCTTTGGGTGGGAGTTTGTTGCTTAAGGGAGGCGGTGCTGCCTGTGTACACTGGAGGGTGAATTTTTTTTCTAGTTGTTGGTGGGGAGGATCTACATATTTTCCTATGTGATACTTCTGCTAAACTCACTTCTTTCTTTCTTTTTCCAGCGGTGTCAAGCTGTCCTGTTCCTCCTGCCTCTTTGTAACATCAGAAGGTGACACAATGGCAAAACATCTGGTCTTCAATCCATCGCATGAGTTTAGTAACATTATTTTCCGAGGTAGGAGTTTGAAAAGGAGCAAAAAGAAATTGCAATAACTTGAAATCTAGGATTAGGGTAGGACATAATACATCTATTCATAAACTCAAGATCAAATACTTTGAAGTGTAGCGTTTGGCCAAGAGGTTACTGGATGTTGAATGTTATAAAACATAGTGCCATGGGTGTTCTCTAACTGCCTGAATGTGGTTTAATTGTTACGGAGATTTTGAGAGTTTAGGTTTAAATGACACCAGCTCTGGAGTTCTGCTGTGTCACTAGTTACTCCAGTCTCCTGACATCTTCCCAGGGACAGACAATGCAGAGGTGTCAGCGAGTTCCTCTGTTCTGCTGAGACACCATTGTACCCCCATGACACCGAGAGGCCTTAAGCAGCTGCTCTCTTTGGGCTTTGAAAATGGCCCAGATCTGGCATTCCAGCCATTCTTCCAGCCACTTACAAAAGTCTGGGGCACTGCTTGCAGTGATCTGGCCCAAGGGAAGCTTTCCTACCTCAGCTCTGTGATTTCAAAGGCACGTGGAGTTTTGCAGCTGGACTCTGCTGATTGCTGCTTGCTGCTGCTCTGCCCTGCTAAGTTTTCTGTACTAGTTCCATATTTGGCTTCACTTAAGTGCAAATATTCCATGGTAGGAGGTGGGAGTTTGAATGGGTGGATGAATATCAGTTATTTTTGCAGCATATTGGGATACTTTGAAGAACAGACAGTATAGCGATACTGATGCTCGTCTCTCTAAGATGACTTTTTTCTTTGTTTGTGCTTTTTGTTTGTTTGCTAAGCTCCCAATCTTTCTCTCTCCCTCTCTCTCTCTCTCTTTCTCTCTCCCTCTCTTTTCCCCACCCCCACCCCACCCCATCCTCTCTCCTTTCTCTTTAACAGGGTCTACTTGGATTTCACATTCCAGGTAAACTATTTGTAAATGTTGGTCTGCCATCACCTATTTATTCTTTATTTTTTTTCTCAACAGTTTTGTTTGCTTGGTTTATTCAGGCTTCTTCCGTGTTCTCTCTCTTTTAAGGCATATCCAGCCCCAGGACAGAAGCACCAAGAATGTATTCCCCACGTATTCCCCCAGCAAAGCTGCTACGGCGAAGACAAAGTCCACGTCACCTGCAAAAGAGAATCTGGAGCCTGAAGCGGCCCTGGCAGCCTGTGYCAGACCTCTGCTCTGCCCGGAGGAGGAGTGCTTGAACATCGATGCTCCCGAGGATGAGCAGCCCCCCAAGGAGCCCGGGGCGGTGGGCAGAAAGGAGCAGCTCTCGGTGAGGAAGCTGCGAGTCGTGCTCTTCGCCCTGTGCTGCAGCACCGAGCAGGCGGCGGAGCACTTCCGCAACCCCCAGAGGCGGATCAAGCGCTGGCTCCGCCGCTTTCAAGCCTTCCAAGAAGAAAACTTGGCATCTCTGTCAGAGGGCAAGTACCTCAGTTTGGAGGCTGAAGAGAAGCTAGCAGAATGGGTGCTCACTCAGAGGGAGCAGCAGCTGCCTGTAAACGAGGAGACTCTCTTCCAGAAAGCGACCAAGATCGGCCGATCCCTCGAAGGTGGCTTCAAGATCTCCTACGAGTGGGCGGTGAGGTTCATGCTGCGGCACAATCTCAGCACGCACACCTGCCGGGCGGTAGCGCGCCCCCTCCCCAAGGACGTGGAGGAAAGTGCCGGCTGCTTCATCGAGTTTGTGCAGCGGCAGATCCACACCCAAGACCTGCCTCTCTCCATGATCGCGGCCATTGATGAGATCTCCCTCTTCCTGGACGTGGAGGTGCTGTGCAGCGATGACAGGAAGGAGAACGCCTTGCAGACGGTGGGTACYGGGGAGCCCTGGTGCGACGTCATCCTCACTATCCTCGCCGACGGTAGCGTCCTCCCAACGCTGGTCGTTTACAGGGGTCACGTACAGCAGCCTGCCAACGTGCCAGAATCTATCCTGTTGGAAGCAAAGGAAAACGGCTACAGYGATGATGAAATCATGGAGTTGTGGGCGTCCAGAGTGTGGCAGAAGCACACAGAGTGTCAGAACAGCAAGGGCATGTTAGTGCTGGATTGCCACCGAACACACCTCTCGGAAGAGGTCCTGTCTTTGCTGAGCGCRTCCAGCACTCTGCCAGCTGTTGTCCCTGCTGGCTGCAGCTCCAAAATTCAACCTCTAGATGTTTGTATAAAGCGGACTGTGAAAAGCTTCTTGCATAAAAAGTGGAAAGAGCAAGCCAAGGAGATGGCGGACTCGACATGCGACTCAGACATCCTCCTGCAGCTGGTGTTGTGTTGGCTGGCAGAGGTCCTGGAGGTCATCAGTGACTGCCCGGAGCTCGTGCAGCAGTCCTTCCTGGTGGCCAGCGTGCTGCCCGGGCCGGACGGCACGGCCAACTCGCCCGCGCGCAACGCCGACATGCAGGAGGAGCTCATCGCCTCGCTGGAGGAGCAGCTGAAGCTGAGCGAGGAGCAGCAGCAGCAGCAGCAGCAGCAGCAGGAGGCCGAGCTCCAGGACGGGATCCCAGCTGAGGAGGCTGCAGACCCGGAAATCCTCCAGCAGCTCTTCGAAGGGGAAAGCGAGACTGGATCCTTTTATGGTTTTGAAGATGCCGACTTGGATCTGATGGAAATCTGAGCACTGATCTGCAACTCGTGATCCGGAAAGGGTTATTTTTTAAATAAATGTTGGATGAGACCATTACACTTCCCTGTGGATTTGTGGGTTTAGGAAATTCGTAGGCGATCACTCAGATAAATAGCCATTTATGCTGTTCATTTATAAGTTTTGTGCTTTTTTAAAAGAAATCACTGTGTTGGTATTTTCTGAAAATATATTGTGGGTGAATATTTTTGCGTTTTCTTTACCTCACTGTATCATAGTTTTCTGTTTTTATTGTGCAGAAATGTTTTGAATTATACATTGTCAATGTGACCATTTCTACAGAAAAGGGGGAAAAGAAATGTAGCTAATGAACCAGTATATAAATCTCTTTGGTTGTCTTAACACAGGTAACTGTTTTATGGTTTTTTGGGTTTTTTGTTTTGTTTTTTGTTTTGTTTTTTAACACTTGACCCAGAGATTTGGTTTCTGTGGTAAATTTAGATATAAATTACTGTTTAATGTGTGAACCTTCTATAATTGGCCATCGCTTTTTTTTTTTTCTTTTTTTTTCTTTTTTTATTGAGTAATTATTTTGCTTGTGAGGCATGAGGTAAAAAACACAAGCGAAGGGATTTTTTGCCTGTTCGGTGCCAGCAACGGCTCTCAGGAGCCGCTCAAATTTGAGCTGGGCTTGAAGCGAGATCCCCGCCTAGGGAGCGGGGTGCAGCAGGCTACAAAGCTCCTGCGGTGGAGGTGACTTCCTGAGCCAGCGGGCGCTGGTTCCGCTCCTCCAGCCTGGGAACCATCTGCCATCCGCCTTGCTCCAAAGCTCCTGCCCGAGGGTTCCTGCTGGACRAGGAAAGTCAGGTCTCTCTTGATCCTCCTGGGCACTAGAGGGGAGTTGAAACCATATGGACCATTGCAGGCTGACCTGGTAACTACTCCTAGCTGATAAACCCGCTTTAACCAGTGGCATCAGACACCCCGTTCCTTAGAATTAGAAATCTGATTTAATGAAACAAACTGTGATGTGCACAAAAAAAAGACTTTTGTTTTTATTTTTCACTGCCAGCTTAAATTTTTCTACATTTTGCATGTTTGAGGGTTTTTTAACTGTATGTATTATGGTATAGACAGAAAGCATTTTGACATACAGAAATCGGAAGCACCTGCACCTTCCTGTTTCCATAGAGGTTTTGCAAACCTGCCCTATTACCCAAGGAAAGCAGGAAGGCAGCATGTGCAGACCTGTAAATGGTTCATCTTTAAATTGTAAATAAGTGGAACATTTAATAAAACCAGGGAAATGGATTTATAAACACGTGTTTTTCTTACAAAGCACTCTTGAACGCTTGTGCCTGCTTGTAGTGCGCGCCGCCAACGGCAGCCTGCCGTGCTCTGCCCCAGCAGCTCGGTTGCACAGACGGGGCAAGGCTGCTGCCTGGCTCCTGGTTTCTGCTGGGGAGGAGACCTGGAGCGGTTTAACAGGTCCTGAAGATACCCGCGTGGGGGACAGGAATTAAATTGTTCATGTGTCACGAACAATTAAGATAGAATTCTGCCCAAGTTACATTCTTGCAACCCCTAGTTGTTCTTTATTAACTACAGAGCGGGGTAAATGGAACAACCTCTGTCTCCTGCTTGAGATTTTAAAAAAATCTGAAATCATCATTAGTTATTCTAGTTAATTATTTCAATGCATTTTATCTTTATTGAGGCACCTTTCCCGYGCTCTATTGAAAGCTTAAGCTTTAATGCGTTATCTCAAGTAGAAGACGAAACCATAGCTTCATTTTATATCATCATCAAAGCTAAGGACTGTCCAGTTCAGCCACCATTCAACACCTCAACCTTAGTTTCGATTTTCATCCAGCAGGGGATTAAAGGAAGCGTGAGCTTGTTATTGAACTGAAAATCCAGCAGCGCAACAGAACGATGGAGATCTCCCTTAGCCTAAAGCTAGTGGCTACAGAAAACCTGAGCGTAACTGCAGCCGCCCCCCCATCCAGCTTCTGCCCCCGTCCTTCCAGTCAAATCTCAAAGTTTGTCACTAAGGACCTATTTGAATGCTAAGTTTGTACCCTTAGCGAAAACTTCTTCCCAAAGCTCTCTTAATAATATAAAGATGTGTTTTCCTTCTGCCTGCAGGTRACTTGTGCAGGAGCTGCTGGCTTTTTACCTGTCCAGATCAGCATGCAGTGTGAGCTGGGGCTGCTGCAGGAGGACCCAGGATTAAAGGACATTCCGCTTTCCCTGAGAGACTTCTCTTTAAAGAGACTCAGTCTTAAAGCAACTTGGGAATCTGACTTCAGACCGGGCGCACAGGAAGCAAAGGATCACCAACCACAAATGATCCTGCAGTCCTACAGGGAAATATTTCAATTACTGCTCTTGTCTTGCTCTTAACTCCGAGCGAGTTGTCTTGCTCCTAACAACTCTACTAGTGAGGAGATGGCAGTTAGGAAACCATTACTAAAATGGAGAAAAAGGAGGTAAGGGGCACGAGTTAGAGGCACTAACAGGGCACTCTTGACCCATCTTCACACGTTTCCACCTACATTCCCATTTGGATAAAACAAGCACTCTCTCAGCTACAGGGGTAGGGCCCTGTCTGGACAGCCAGCGAAGCTGCTGTTCTTGCTGTCTCTCTCCAAAACTTGGAACCAACGTTTTGGAAGTGGGGGTTGTTCTGTAGGCAGCAACCTGGYGGCTCTGAGTAATTCTCATGCTCTGGTTTTTCAACCAAAGACTCCTCCTGCGGTAAATAYATCTGGAGCAACACCCCAACTCCTATCTAACCATCAACACAAGCGCACACACACACCTTGGGTTRACAACTTTATTCAACTTCCATAGCAAATCAGAGCTTCACATAAGGAATAAGTGATCTACAGCATCCATAAAGGGTCATCACAGGAACAGAACAGCCTGCAGCAGCTCCATGGAGATCACTCAAAGCCACTGTAAGAAGGTATTTTCATAAGGTCAGGATATTATACCACCTGGATGTGTTCAACAGCTGGGCTATGAAAACCACAGGAGGGCATTCTAGATTTTAGCAGGTGCTGCTTGTGACATTTGCTCTGAACAAGTTAAAGGCAGCAAGGAAAGTAGATCAATGAAAGCTTTCAAGTTCCAGAAGGACTTTACGTTAATGCTTCCACACCTCGATCCTAAAGGCCTCAAGGCAACGGAGCAGAGAAGCAAGAGCTGTCAGCCTGTCCAGCTGCAGATCCTGTCCTGGCACCTGCACCTCCGTGCCTCGTCCAGCAGCTCGCTACGACCTGCCGGGCTTTGCTGGGCTGCCCTCTCGGGGACAAAGGGCTCAGAGGGTGCTCACCCTCCGGGGCGTTACCTGACAAGGTGTGCTATGTCCCAGTTGGCTTCCAGCGTCAGAGGTCCTTCCACTTCCACTCCTTTCTCAGTTGCAATAGCAAGTTCATACTAAGGGGAAGAAGCATTTAGAGTTTGTAGTAAATCCTGACTTTCATCCTTGAATTCAAGATGAGTCTTCTCTTCCCCTGCGGGATCTTTAGTAAGTGTAAGTCAATAACAAGAACCGTTCCTTCTGAGACATTTGCTTTAACGGGGCTTTGCCTTCAGTGATGCTTTACATTTTTGATGGGCAAGTCAAGTCAGAGTTAACCCTAGTAGCTGACAGAAACAATTTCCAAGTGAGCAGACTGCAGTCTCTGGATGCTACTGCTGGGGCGAGGGGCAAAGCACCCTCAGAAGCAAGAAACTGCATAAAGCAGCCAAAGGCAAACAGCATCCAGAATCACACTGCTGCTGAGAGGCTGCAGGAGAGGAGAACAGTCACGCTTTGGCAGACAGCTTTGCTAACAGTGACTAATACACTGCGCACCCCCAACTCAAAAGATATCGTGAGGCTTTTCTGCAACTCGGATACTTACTCTGTTGAATGATCGGGCGTCTCTGTAATACAAGATTTTCATGCACCGCTCAATCAGGTCACGGGCCTCCTCCTTTGTCAGGATGGGTTTCTTCTCCAAGGCTTCTCTCATAAGCGGCTGCAAGACAACAACAACAATAAAAACACACCCAACACATCAGTTCATCGACCGGCGCCRATGGCTTCAGCAGCTGACGCGCGTGGCCTGCGCTCACTCACCTGAGCAAGGTAGGCTCCGTAGCCCGTTGCAAGCGTAGGAGCTTCGTAGGCCACCCCGAGCATGTCCACGTAGCCTAAGAAACTGAAGGCACAGACTTGTTCTTGCGGCCACTGTGCAACAGGGCCAGCAGTGTCACCTTGCGGAGGGACTCGGTTTTGGAACAGCTGCCTCATAAGGCAGAGTGCCAGCCAGTGGGCACATCCACCCCCCGYCCTCTTCTTGGAGAGGACATTCCCACCTAGAAAGCTGCACCAGGGGGAAGCAAGCTGGCAGGTTCCCTTCTGCCAGCCGCTTGTGCCACAAGAAGCAGTCCTAGGGAGCACAGCAGTGACCGCCACGGGCTCCGCGTGCCGCATCCTCACCTCTCGCCATTGTAAAAGCCTCCAATGACAACAGTGTTCCAGAGCGGGTTTATCTTGGACCTGCGGTTGTACATGACTCTTGTCAGCCAGGAGTGAATGGCTTTCGGGCTGTAACTGTGACCGTCTCCCAGCAGCTCCTCATCGATTCTACGTTAAACAGAAAGGTAAGGAAGGATTTCAGCTCGGGAACTGGAAACATTGCATTTGTCTTAAGTGGSTCAATGGCAGAAGATCTGTAGGTAGCAAGTGGTAAAACAAGCTGTGAAGGAAATCCTCAAACTATATCACTTTATYCTAGCTTATTTGACCCACAGGCATGAAGACCAGTTTGGGCCCACTTTATTTTTTGCTCAGTGTGTGCATTTTATTACATGGTTTAATTTTTTGAGGCCTGAGGAGAACAAGGGGCCCAACAAGGCGGCCCAGCGTCACGCAGGGCGCTACAGGGGCCGGCCCGGGGCACGAGGTACTTACACCATCTGGTCAATAACCTGCTTGAGATACTGGAAGTCGGCGTAGTCCCCGGAGGCGCCCAGCATGGTGCTGTCGTTCACCTTGAGGAGCCTGGACAGGTTGCGGAAGCGGGCGAGGGAGCCGTAGGAGCCGAGCGTGTCCGCAGCAATGACCACGCCGCCGTCGAACTTGACGCCCAGCACCGAGGTGCCCGTCACCATGGGGCTCCTGAGGAGCGGCAGGACGCGGGTGACCGGCCCCTCTCCCGCAGCCCCTCGTTCCTCCCAGCCCTGGGGCTGTTCCCGCTCTCCCAGTGACTCCCAGCTCACCCTCATCCGCAGCGTTCCCCCATCCTCATCCCCCAGGGCGCCCCACAGCCTCCACCCCCCCGCTCCCTATTCCCGCTGTATCCCCCACCGCCTTCAACTCCCCCAGCCCAACCGCGCCACATCCCGCCCCGCGCCCTCTCCCCTCCCCGTGTCCTCCATTCCCGCCACATTGCCCAAGCCCCCCCTCCACTCACAGCGTCCGCGCAAGGGGCGGGAGGGCCGCGGCGGCCGCGGGCCCGCGCGGGATGTAGATCTGCCCCGGGGCCGGGCCCCCGGCCCAGAACGGCGGCGGCGCCCGCGCTTCCCGCACCTCCATCTTAGTCACGCTGCCGCCGGCGCTGCGCAGGCGCCGAGCCGCAGCGGCCGCTCCCGGCCGCCGTACACCGAGGCGGCGAGCCGCCATTTTGGGTGAGGCCGGAGCCGCGCCGGGCGCCATCTTGTGCGTGGCGGCCCCCACTTTGGCAGCTGCTTTCCAGCAGCCCTAGGGGTTTCGCTCTGCGTGTTAGACATTTCTAAATAGGTAAAATAATAATAATAATAATAATAATAATAATAATAATAATAATAATAATAATAATAATAATAATAATAATAATAGGTTTTCCTCATTTTTAATCCCTTCCCACTCCAGCTGCAGCTGCTGCTCCTTCCCTTTGTGCTTAGGGAGCTCAGGCCCTTGGGGCAAACTGTCCTTTGCTTGTGAACCCAGAGGGAATTTTCTCATGGGAAAACCCCAAGTCCCTCGGGGAACYCAGCGGAGTTTGCTGGACTGGTGGAAAACATAAAGGCTGAATTATTTTGAATAATAGTGAATTATTTGTGCCTAGGATGCGCCTGCCCTGCAGCCGAGAGCGTCTTTCCGYCTACTTCCAAGCTGTGACTTCCCCGGCACAGGCTGGGCCCGTTACCCCGGGCAGGGTCCCAGTGCGGCAGCTGCTCTCCTAGGGATAATTCCTTGTCCCTACAGAGCTCCGTTCTGGGAGCAAGTGGTGGAGTTGGCGTGGATGAGAGCCACGCCATCCTTCTGGAGGCAGCAGGGAACACACCWCATTGCGGAACAGCCCCGTTGCAGCCCTGGAAACGGCCGCGTCCCCGCGGCAGCGCACAGGAGCTCCATGTTGTCCTTGGAAGACGCCACGCGGGTGGCTCCGCACACCCGGCTCCTGGAGCAGCCGAGGACCTGCCCTCCGCTGCCTTTCCCCCAGGGACCAGAGGCGAGCGGAAGGGAACGGCCCCCGCTCCAGGAGGGCTGCGGGATGTCCGGGAAGAGGCGGACACGGGCAGTGCTGCCGCGGCCGGGTTCGGCCCCTCGCTTCCACGGACTCGTTTCAGGCCCCCACGCAGGGCTGCTCCTCTCGGCCCAGCGCGGCGGGAGGACGGCCCGGCTGCCCCGCGGCTTGGCGGGCACCCCCGTGCAGCAGGAGCAGCGCGGCACGGAACCGCTGGTGCCGCATCAACGTGCGGAAAGAGGCAAAACGGCAGCATCTCCCCAAAAACCACCCGTTAACGGTGCCGAGAAATGACTTCTGGAAACGTGTAAGGAATCTGCGCCGTGAGGCCGGATCCCAGCCAGCCTCTGCCGTCACCTGCTCCCCGCCTCGGGGCACGCTCCCCAGGCCGCGGGGCAGCGCCCGGCGCCGCCACCGGCGGCAAGGACACGCCCCCTCGGCCACCGGCGGCAAGGACACGCCCCCCTCGGCCACCACCGGCAGCAAGGACACGCCCCCTCGGCCACCGGCGGGCAGGACACGCCCCCTCGGCCACCGGCGCCGCGCTCCTCCGAAATGGCGGCCAGGGGCGGGTCGCGAGGCAAGGGGGCGGGCACGGGGGGCGGGCTCTTGCCCGCCCCGGGGCGGGGCCTAGCGGGGCGAGGGCCAATGGGCGCCTCGGGGGGCGGGGCCTGGGCGAAGGTAACAGGTTGCGGTGGGCAGCGCAGGGATCGGCGCCGGGCGCAGCGGTGAGTGCGGGGCTGTTGGGGGCGCGGCTCGGGGGGCCCCTATAGACACCCCTATAGACACCCCTATAGACACCCCTATAGACACCCCTAGGGAGGCTCTGCTCCCTGCCCCAAGACAGATCCCATAGGGGCCACGGGGTTTCTCCTTCCGCGGGCCGGCTCTGCCCCCTGGCCGCCCCTCTCGGGGGGATCTTATGGGATATCCTATAGGGGCAGTTCCCTCCAGGGTGGATTCTGCCCCTGGCCGCCCCCCATAGGGACCGGGGCCGTAGGGGCAGTTGTCCCTGCGCTGCAGCCTGGCTCTGGCTGGAGGCGATGTCCTTCCCTGCGCGTGCCCTGCCCTATAGCAGAGCCTATAGGGCTGGGCCCCGTGGGCGTTTCTCCCCTGGGCTGGACCTTGCCCCGCAGCAGCCCGTGCAGGGGCTGCCTTTGCAGGTGCCCTTGTCCTTGGCGTCTGCTCTGCCCTATAGCAGTCTGCACTGGGGCTTCCCTCCCTAGGCTGTGACCTGCCCTGCAGCATCTCCTATGGAGACCCCATAGGCTGCTCCCTGTTCCCTACGGCCTGGGGCTGCCCCGGGCATCTCCCCAGGGGATCTGCTCTCCCCACTGCTGCCTACAGGGRCTACCTTTCTGCAAGTGATTTACATTTTCCTATAGCTCTCCCCTATGGAAGCTGCATCATCCTTTGCCGGGAGTAGCGTTTAGGTGTTCCCCACCCCCAGCACCCTCCGTCAAAGCGGGTGCCCTTTTCCATCGGGGATGTGCCCTCCGCTGCCACAGCTCCCTCCTGGGCACGGCCCTATAGGGGCTCCCCTGAGAGCTGCCCTTCCTCTATAGAAGCCTGGCGCTCCATAGGGGCCCCCTGCCTGACGCACCCCCCGTCCCGCTGCAGCCGCCGCTCTGCTCTGTTTAGTGCGTTTGTGACCCTTGGACTTAATCTCTGGCTGGGGGAGTTTGCTGATAGAGGCTCAGTCCCAGCCAGGACAGATAGGAGCTGTTTGATCATTCCTGCTTTGAGGAATTCTCGGATCCCGGGGCTCTTCCCCCTGAGCCTCATTAGCAATGTGCAGATAAGTGCTGTCTTGTTGCAGCTGAGGCTTCAAATGGCAGAAAAATGAGGGCAGTCCAGCAGGTTGAGGGAAGGGAGGGGGGGGAAAGCCCCTTGGATCCCCAGCATTCCATGGAAACTTGGTGCTGGGGCAAAGCCCTTGCCCCAGGCCTGGCAAAACGGGCTCCAGCGCTTCCGGAGCGGCCGTAACGCGGCACCTCCTGAAACTTTAATGCGGAGCCGGCCGTGGAGCTGCCCTACTTCGCGCCGGGCTCCCAGYGGGTATTTTTAGCCGCCAGTTCAAATAAGAAAGAGAAATCTAGGGCTCGGGTGTCTTCCCCGCGAGCTGCAGGGGGTTAAAAGAGGAGCGGGCACCGCGGGCGGGTTTATCGGCTGTGTGCGGGTGCTGCTGGGTCTTGGCGACTTACCGCTGTCCCGTCTTTCCTTCTCTTTCCCCGAGGGCCTGGTGCGGTGCGGACGCCGCGGCCCCTTCGCCGGGGAGAGCGGCCGCTACGGAGCGGTCCAGGAGGTTGGTGCCCTCGGAGGTGGCACGAGCTGCGTGAAACTTGGGGTTCCTGCAGCACCCCAGGGACCTGCGCCCCACGGGTGAGCAGCCCCCACCCCTGTGGGTGCAGGATTGTGGGCGCTCTGGGGACACGTCCCAGCCCACGGATCAGCCCCAAGGTCACAGCAAACCCCAACCCCCCGGGCTCCGGCCGCTGTCACTACGTTTTGTTTCGGAGCCTGTTTGCGGGTGGCTCTGGGCTCCCRCCACCACCCCGACCAGTCGAGCTGGTTTCTGTTTCCATGCCCAGTCCCCGCTGCCGATAAAGYGCCGCTGGCCGAGAGAGGCCGGCGCCGGCGGCTCCTCGCTTGGCTCCTGGCACCGGCCTCTCTCTTGCGGGGCGCCGGGGCACAGCGGGCCGAGCCTCGGGGAGGCAGCAGCCTCCGCCCTGCTCTGTGTCGAGGAGAGGGGGCTCAGCCCTAACGAACCGAGGGCTGTGTCCTAACGAGCGTGCCRTGGCAGCGCGCCCGTGTCCGCAGCCCCCGGCCGCGCTGCCCGGGCGCACGTCCCCTTGGCGCCCCGGGGCCCGGCTGCCCTCCGCTAACGGCGCTGTGAAAACCGTACCCGCGTGAGTGCATCCGAGTACCGCGGCTCCTCTGAGGTGGATTTTTTATTTGGGAGCCCCGAAGCAGAGTTTGTGAAGGTCTGGTCTGATCCACGCCATGAAAATGCATCACRGTGTCACTCACAAAGTGCCTGTAGTCTTGGGGGGTGGCTTTGTTTGTTTTTAATATACTTATTTTTTACACTATTTGACTATTATTTAGAAGACGTGGCAAACCAGGCGGCCATCAAGCAGTTTCTTGGCTTGGTCTCGGTGGTGTCCGAGAGCTTTGGCCTCATCCTGATAGGCAAAATTTCATTGTCATCAGTTCTGGGGAGCTGGGCAAATAAGGAGGGTGGGAATGGGTGACTTAAGGTAAAAGAAAATCTGACCTCTCTTCACTCCTTTTGCTCTGTTTTCATAAATAATACATGGCCAACGAGACGGGCTTGTGGCCCATCTGAAACCGGCCAACGTGGGAGATTTTTGCCTGGCTAAAAGCCATCGGTTTGCGAGGAAAGCGGCTGCCGGGGCGGCCGTGTTTGCGCGCGGGGCTGGGCAGCGGCTCGCGCTCCGCGCGGCACCCCCTGCGCTCCGCCGGCTGTGACGGTGCCGGCTGTGAYGGTGCCGGCTGTGACGGTGCCGCCGGGCGCTGCGCCGAGAGGCTCCTTGCCCGGTGGCAGCGGGTGACGTGCGCGGGTGTGTTGGTTTCGGGTGGCGGTGGGCGGGTGGCGCTTGGGCACCTGCACGCGGAAGGAGCCGGGGTCCTCGCGGGGCACCRGCGCCGCCCGTGGACTCTGCCCCACGCGGGACCGGCCCCGGYGCAGCCCAGAGCGGCGCGTGGAAGCGGCACCGAGGAAGCCGCGCTGCTAGAGCAAAGTCTGAGGGGAGCCGCCCTGGGAATAGCTCCAAGCTTGGCGGCAGCCGCAAGAATAGGCAAGAGCTGGGAATTGCTGTTGGTGTCCCGCTGTCCCTGGTGCCCCCGGTGCTGCTCGAAGCCGTTTGCTCCGCTGCTGGCGAGCGCGTCTCGCACGGGGCCGTCCGGAGAGCGGGCCCAGCCCGGCCGAGCTTTCCCGGCGCCGCTTGCGCCTTGCAAAAACCAGCAGCTTTCTGGGTTCCCGTGTCCACAAAGGGCCCATTGTGGCGGCTGCGGGCGAGCCGAGCTGGCCGGCCGCCACCACGCGCGGCCCGGCCCCGCACCCGCCGCCGGGACGCGAGGCTCCCGCGCGGGAGAGGCCGAGCCAGGGCAGAGTCAAGGTGTGTTTGTGGAGCAAAGGCCTTGGCAAGGGAGGGTGCTGCACACCCAGAGACAGCAAAGGGTATTTTTAGCTTTGTCCCGCTCGCTTCCAGGTGCCTTCTCTGCGGTTTCCAGCAAAACCTCGTCCTGGGGCTGTTTGCAGCCCCGGGCTTGGTGCTGCTCTCCCACAGGAATGAATCCGGCTCCGCGGCCCTCTCGCCGTGAGCTGGAGCCCTTCCAGGCGCAGGCATTCCCGGGAGAGCAGCTGCTCCTGGTGACTCACCTGCCTCTCCTCCCGCTGCGCGGCTCCTTGCCGGCCRCGCCGGTTCCCCTGCCCCACCGGGCACCCTGCTGTCCCCCCACGGCCGTCACGCCGGGGCTGGCAGCGCTCGGAGCCCTCCTAGTTTTCCCCATCTGTGATGTCCCCAACCTTTGATCCTCCCTGTGGCTTGGAGGGGACAAGGCCAGCAGCTGGTGAGTGCTCTGCCTGTGCCCCTGGGAAGGATTGGGAATAACGGGATTTGGCTTACGGGCTCTTGCCACAGTCAGGGCGGATTTGCAGGTGCCGATATCCGTTGCTGATCTCATTATCTCAATGCTCGGGGCCTGATCTGTGATTAGGTCTTGGGGACAAATACAGAAGACCTCCAAGGCTGGTTGTGGCCCCAGCAAAACACGTTCAGCCCCTGCATTGCTCCGTGCTGCGGGTCGCCGACCAAGACCTTTCCCGTCACCAGGGCTCCCGGTTTGGGTCAGCCCTGGCAGGAATCGCTCCTGCCGAGGGATGGGAGCATATGGTGGCTATGGGAAGCGGAGGTGCCCCAYGGAGGGGACGTGGAAAAGGCTCGTTCCTCCTGGCACTGCCGTCATGCGCCACGCGGCATCCGGCGCCGGCCCACGCGTCTTGTCTGGGCCAGGGCCCCGCAGGGCACTTGGCCTCGCTGCGAAGCGCCCGGCCCCGCGGCAGCGCCCGGGGCAGCAGCGCCCGGCCCCGCGGCAGCGCCCGGGGCAGCAGCGCCCGGGGCAGCAGCGCCGCTTCTCCCGGGCGGCTCTGCCTCCCTGCGAGACGCGGCAGGGAACGCGGGGCCGGGCCGCGTGGAGCTGCAGGAGAGCCCCGCTGCCCTCCACGGCTGCTGCTTTGAGCCAGGTGATGGTTTGGGGAGTGACATCAGGGGTTGAACTGAAAGCTGAGCATCTGATTCAATTTTTAATATATATTTTTTTCCCACGTACAGGAGCTCTTTAAACATTCCCTTGTCTATCTCTGGGCCCCCTTGCATGCTCAGGTGTCTTGCGCTGCCCTCGGGGCTGCAGCTCTAGGCTACGCTCAGCGTCTCCYGTCGCCTTCTCCAGGGTTCCCACTTCCTTAAAGCAGGGAGAGGAGGCAGCTCTGCTCCAGGTGGTTCTGGCGGGGCTGAAACTCGAGCATCGGGAGGGTCTGAKGGGCAGTTACTGCTTCTCTCTCATTGAACTCCCCGAATCCCCGTTAAGTGGGKAGCCCCACAGGGAGAGCTGGGCGCCTGCCTCATCTGCAGCATGAGCAGGGCCCGGGGCCGCAGGGAGCTGCTCTGCACGTGCCCGTCTGCTCCGCCGCTCATCGCGGAGAGGACGYGGTGGCCGCGGGCAGAGCCCCCGTGTCCTGCCGCACTCCCCCATCATCCGCTGGGATCCCATTGCAAAGGGGGAGGCAGCTCCTGCGCTGCCAGCCGGGGAGCGCGTGCCGGCTGCTCGGGCATCCTCCAGCTCCGGGCGCCTTCCGAGGGGAGGGAAAACGCAGCTGGGGGCTTTGAGACGGGCCCTCGCCGGGCAGACCCCTCCGCAGGAAGCGGGGCTCGTGCCCATGGGCGCCGTTCGTGCCCAGCTCTTCTGCCACCTCCCGGCTGCGGCCCCGAGGATGAGGTGGGCTCCTCTCCCTGCAGGAAGGCGGTGCTGGGCCCCGGCGATGGAGCGGCCGGTGAGCGCAGCCATGGCCGAGAAGCAGAGCCCGCTGGACTACGGCGTCCAGATCCGCTTCATTAAGGACCTGCAGGAGCCCCAGAAGCAGCCGAAGGTGCGAGCCAAGGGGGGCAAGCCGGGCTCGTACGGCGTGGCCGTGCGCGTGCAGGGCATCGCCGGGCAGCCCTTCGTGGTCCTCAACAGCGGCGAGAAGGGCAGCGACTCCTTCGGGGTGCAGATCAAGAGCGAGGGCGCCTTYGGTCCCAGCCCTGGCGGCGCCCGGCGGCCCCCGGACCCTCCCTCGGGCTCCGCRAGCTCTGACTCGGACCTGCCAGAGAACCCGTACGCGGCGCGGCCACCGTCACACGGCCCCCGCGGCAGCAGCGCCTCGGACGAGGAGGCGCCGGGGCGCCGCGAGCCCGCCCGGCCGCTCGCGGACGAGCTGCGGCGCTCGCGCTCGCACGGCAGCCTGCTCGAGCCCTCRGACGAGCCCTTCGCGTCGCCGCCGGCCGCTGGCGCCAGGAGCTGCAGCGTGGTGGACGTCGCCGGGCCCAGAGGGGAGCAGAGCCGCCCCTCTGG